AATAAATAAATAAATATAACCAGGCATGGTGGTGCACGCCTGTAGTCCCAGCACTCTGGAAGCAGAGGCAGGTGGAGCTCTGTGTGTTCAAAGCCAGCCTGGTCTACATAATGAATTCCAGGCCTGCTACTACAGGGAGACCCTACCTTTTAAAAAAAAGAAGTAAAAATTAAAAGAGGGCAGAGGGCATGGCTCAGTGGTAGAGCACCTGCCTAGAATCCCCCACTGATGGGCAGGGGGTGTGGCTCAGTGGTAGAGCACCTGCCTAGAATCCCCCACTGATGGGCAGGGGTGTGGCTCAGTGGTAGAGCACCTGCCTAGAATCCCCCACTGATGGGCAGGGGTGTGGCTCAGTGGTAGAGCACCTGCCTAGAATCCCCCACTGATGGGCAGGGGGTGTGGCTCAGCAGTAGAGTACTTGTGTAGCATGTGGGAGACCCTAAGGTCAATCTGTAGTAAGATGGGCTTGGCAGTGAAGAGGACACATGGATATTGGAATTAGGATGGGGGGTGGGTGACAAAAGGCAGAGATGAAGGGAAAGAGTGAGGTGAGCTTGGGGACCAGGGTTGGCGAGGAAGAGGGAAGGCAGAGGCTGCACTGAGGGTCATGAGGGCTGCGATGACAGGAAGATGGGAGAGACTGGGGTCTGGGGTAGAGGTCAAGTGGGTTGAAGATAGGGTTCTCAGAAGCTGGGGGGGCAATGCAGTGAGGGCCCATGGGTGCTTACATGTCCACATCATCATAGTCATCATCGGATTCTGACGGTTGGCTCCTGAAAAGTGAGAAGCATGAGCCTCAGGTGGCCCCCACGTAACCCACTGCCCTCCCCTTCCACCCAGGGGAGGGGTCCTGAACCTGGGACTGGTGCTCCTAAAGTCTCCAGGGGGCTGTAAGTGAACCTGTCAGATGAGGAGAGTCAGCATGACCCTGGGGAGGGAGAGAAGGGGAGGGAAGGGCATCCAGGGTGAGCACGGAGGGGTCTCACTGTGTCAGGTGGGGGTCTGGGCTCAATGCCTCTGAGCCTCCGGAACTCCATGTGTCGCCCTGGGAGGTGGGACAAGACAAACAAGTTAGGAGGAGGGCAGGTGGTGGGCTGGGGAAGCAACTGGGGGGTGGGGGAAGCAGCTCGTGGGGACACAGCTGGAGTCAAGAGCTTAAGAGCTGCTACTGTCCCTTGCAGGAGTGTCCTTCATTTACAGGGGTCTCATTTGGAGGTCCACGAGTAACATCGGAGAGGTAGAGGGGCTCAAAGTAGTTATGGAGTGTTGGTTTTCAAAATCTGTTAAGGTATTAGGAATTCTGACAGGTTTTTTATTTTTATTTTTGCGTATTTATTAAAAAAACATTTATTTGGGGCTGGAGAGATGGTTCAATGGTTAAGAACACTGGTTGTTCTTGCAGAAGACCCGGGTTTGCATCCCAGCACCCACATGGCAGCTAACAAATGTCCGTAACTCCAGTTCCAGGGGATCAGACAGCCTCTTCTGACCTCCTTGGGCACTGCACGACACGGGTACACTTACCTACATGCAGGCAATACACACATACACATAAAATAAAAATAATAAAATGTTTTTTAAAGTTTAAAAAAACCCATTTATTATTTATTTATTTATTTAGTGGGACGGTCAGGTACACATAGCCGAGGACAACTTGCAGAAGTTGCTTTTCTCCTTCTGCCTTGTGGGTTCTGAACTCGGGTGGTCAGGTTTGGCAGCAAGTGTCTTTACACACTGGGCCCTCTATTTGTTTTATTTTATTTTTTTGTTTATTTTTTAATATTTAATTTATTATTTTTATTTTATGTGTATGAGTGTTTTGCCTGCATATATGTAGGTGCACCATGTGTGTGCAATGTCCACAGAGGCCAGAGGAGAGTGTCAGATCCCCTGGCACTGCAGTTAAGGATGGTTGTTAGCTGCCATGTGGGTGCTGGGAATTGGACCCCAGGTCTCTGGAAGAACAGCCTGTGTTCTTAACTGGTGAGTCATCTCTCCAGCTCCTTCGTTTTATTTTTTGAGACAGGGACTCATGTAGTCTTGGTAGGCCTCTAACATTCTATGTAGTAGAGAATAACCTAGAAGTTCTGATCTTCCTGCTTCTACTTCCTAAGTGCTGGGATCTACCATACCAGGTTTATTCAGTGCTGGGGATGGAACCAAGGGCAAATACTCTACCAATTGAGCTACAGCCCGAGCCCTTTTTTGTTGTTTTTGACACTATAGTCTAGGCTGCTTCAACCTCCCAAATGCTGGGATTACAGGCCTGTGCCAACTATGCCCTGATCCTAAGAGATTCTTGAGGTGTCTTTGGGGTCAGTATGGTGCTAAGAGGTCTTTGGGAGAGGAGCTCTGTGGTCACTTTGATTTTTGTTTCTTTTTTTCTTCTTTTTTTTTTCTGTCTTTTGGAGACAGGGTCACCCTGTAGCCCCTGCTGGCCTGGAACTCATTTTGTAGAGGAGGCTGCCCTCAAACTCACAAAGATCTACCTGCCTCTGCCTCTCAAGTGCTGGGATTAAAGGTGTGCGCCACCACCCTGGCTCTGTGGTCATTTTGAAAGTTGGATGGTCATAAGGTTCTGGGGGGTGGGGGTTGGGTCAGTCAGTGGGCAAAACAAGGGTCTCTTAGATCTAGTACAGAGTTAGGTAGCCCCAAAGTGCAGGATTCTCTACTCACGGCAGCAATCTGCATCTGGGATCCCCAGTGAGCTGGCCCGGTGGGTAGATCTGATCCGCCGAGGGATGGCAGGGGGTAGCTAGACAGAAGGGTAGCTATGTCAGGGCTCATAGCCTCCCAGCAGCCACCCCCCCATCACCCTGTGAGCCCAGCCCCGAGCCCCCCCTCTCCCATAATGCTTTGTATCCAGTCCTGCCAGGCTTTCCTTCTTCCCACCATTTTTCCTCTAGTAGACACTTTGAGAAGGCACCCTTGGCAGGAGGCACACCCTATGCAAAGGTCCGAAGTTTCCAAGCTCTTCACTGTTAAGGCTCTCACCTCAGGCTCCTCATCTTCAATCTCACCCACAGGCGGCCCCTTCCCAGGATTCCTCAGTTTGTCAAGAAGATCCAGGATGAGGCCTCTATTCAGCCCAGGCTGGGACACCAACTGATGCTGTGGGAGGGGACAGGGGTCAGCAGTCCCAGGGCTGGCATGGCAGGGAGGATGGAGACTGGTGCCTTCTGCCTAAGAGGGTCCTTGGAGGAGGATGCCAGTCAAGGGAAAAGGGAAGGAAAACTAGGACATTCAGGAGCCCAGGGAAATGAGAAGAATTCAGAGTTCCCAGAAAGGGATATAAGGAACTCCAGGGTGTCTTAGAAGGGACCCGGGCTTGGAGAAGATGTGCAGGAACAAATCCAGAGACCCCTGAGAATTGGCTAGTTCTAGCAACTCAGGGAAACATGGAAAGGTCTGGAGTGAAGGTGGGCATGGTAGCACATGCCTATAATCTCAGCACTTGGGAGGTGGAAGCAGGAGGATCAGGAGTCCAAAGACATTCTTCTATACATTGTACGTTTGGGGCTATCCTGTGCTACATGAGACTAACCAACCAACAAAAAACACACACCCCCCGAAAAAAAGTAAGCAAAAAAAAAAAGAAAGATCTGGGTATAATTGGTTTGATTTTATTTTTTTGAGATGGTCTCATGTAGCTCAGACTAGCCTCAACCTCTCTATGTAACCAAGCATGACTTGAACTCCTGATCCTCTTGCCTCCACCTCCTTGAGTGTTGGGACTGCAGTTTTGCACCATGAGGCCTGGATCTCCAGGGTGCAGTTTAAAGGGTTTTATGGGTGGAATCCTGGCAAATTCTCAGAGACTAGGGATTTTGGAAGGGCTCCAGGGTTCTATGGAGCTAAATAGTAACACTTTTGTGAAGTGTAGAAGACTTGGGGAGTCCTGGGATGAGGGACCAGGGTGCAGAGGGGCTCCTCAGGCAGGAGTGGCTTACACTGAGCATCTTGGTGGCACCAGGTCGTTTCTTGGGGCTCTTGGTGAGGGTGACTTTGACAAAGTTATGGAAGGCAGCTGACCTGGAGAGGAAAAAGTCAGGTTGTGGGTTGAGGGGACTGGAAACTTCCTGTCCCACCCTCCGGCCCTCCCCAGCCCACCCTCAGGTGACCTCCCTTACCATCTGCCCTTTTCCTTTAGCCTTGGAGGCTGGTAGCCACTCTTTGTCATGAGGAAGAGAACTCTAGAAGAGTAGGGGAGGAACGTGGGGTTAAGAAGTCATGACAGACAGACCTCATAGCTTCAGGGGTCCCTAGCAGCACTGATGTTGTCAGAGAGCAAAATGACAGAAGACCTGACAAGTTTAGGTTTTGGGGGCTGGGGAGGTGGCTCAATGGTTAAGAGCACTGGTTGCTCTTGCAGAGAACCCGGGTTCAATTCTCAGCAGCCACATGGCAGCTAACAACCATCTGTAACTCTAGGGGATTCGATGCCCTCTGACCTCCACGCTGCACGACACTGGTGCATGTACATACATGCAGGCAATACATTCATAAACAAAAAAAATAAAATAAAAATAAAAATATTTTTTTAAAAATAGAGTTGGGAGCCAAGTGTGGTGGCGCACACCTTTAATCCCAGCACTCCAGAGGCAGAGGCAGGCAGATCTCTGAGTTCGAGGCCAGCCTGGTCTACATAGTGAGTTCCAGGACAGCTGGGGCTACAGGGAGACCCTGTCTCAAAAAGACCAAAAGAAAAAAAAATAGTCAGGTGTGATTGCACACACCTTTAATCCCAGCACTTGGGAGGCAGAGGCAAGCAGATCTCTGTGAGTTCCAGGTCAGCCTGGTCTGTATATCAAGTTTCAGGCCAGCAAGGGCTACATAGTGAGCCCCTGTCCCAAAAAACATAACAACAACAAAATTCAAGAATACCTGTCTCTAAACACCCTGCTCCCCCAAAAGACGGGGCTTATTGAGTTGGAGGTTCTGCTGTGTGGAAATTGGGCTAAAGAAAAAAGCTTTTTACGTGGAGGGAGTCACAGGAATCTCCCTAGGAGCATCTGATCCATGTGAGGAAGCAAGTTGAGAGGTGGTCAAAAGCCTAGGGGTACCAGCCATCCCAGACCTTACCTGAGAGGGTGCACGTCAAAAAGTGGAGGCTGTAGCTCAGCCAGCTCAATGGCCGTAATTCCAAGAGACCAGATGTCACACAGCTCGTTGTATCCACCCTTCAGGGCCACAGCTGCCACCTCTGGAGCCATCCTGTGGGCAGAGACCCTCAGAAAGCCAGGGGTGGCCCAGGGATGGGAGAGAGGTGGGTGCAGGGAAATGTGGCAGAGACAGCCGTGGTGAGAGGGACATAAAGATAGAGACAGAGGACAGGGTAAGGGAGAGAGGGTAGGGGAACCAGTCTGTGATCTTAGCACTCTGGAGACTAAGGCACGGAGATTTCTATGAGTTTAAAGCCAGTCTGGGCTACAGAGTGAGACACAAAAAGAAAGAAAAGATGGAAGGGAGAGAGGGAGGAAGAGGGGGAGGCTGGGAGGGAGCCTGGGAGTATGGGGCAGTGGTGTGAGGATGGTGTAAGGACCTGGTTTCAGTCCCTACCAGAAACAGAAGCAAAAAGATCTACTATCAGGAAGAGACAGAAACAAAGAGACAGAGAGAGCCACAGGCTGAAAAAAGACAGAAATAGATAAATTGGGGAGAGATAGAGATCAAGATAAAAACCAACCCAAGTGGGATGCAGTGGCTCATACCCATAATACCAGCACTTGGGAAATGGAAGCAGGAGGATCAGGAGTTCAAGGCTAGCCTAGGCTACATGAGACCCTGTCTCAACAAACACACATGCACACACACACACACACACACACACACACACACACACACCCCACTACCACAAAAATCCCAAACACTGAGAGAAACAAGTAAAAAGGGCCAGAGAGAGAGACAGGTAAGTGAAAAACTCAAAAGACAATGAAAAAGGAAGTGTTTGGTAGGGAAAGGCAGAGTGGAGCGGAGCTAAGAAGTTCCTGGGAAGCCAGGATTGGGAAAACCACTGTTCCCCACCCCCAGCTGCCTACCCAACACCCCTCACCAGTATGGTGTCCCAATGAAAGAGAGGCGTCTGGCCAATGTCGCCCCGATCTGGGCAGAGATCCCAAAGTCAGCTGGAGGCAGAGGTAGAGATGTAGTGAGCCTGCCCCACGCAACCCCAGTCAGCTCCCTGCACACCCCACCAGCTGCACTCACCTAGTTTAACCTCCCCAGCATCATTGATGAGGATGTTGGCTCCCTGGGGACCAGGGAAAGGGTGAGAAGCCATCAGAGAACCCCCCTTCCCCAACATATTGCCACACCACCTCGTCCCCACCCCACAGCTCAAACTGCCTTGAACTCTAGTTCCCTCTCACCCCACTCCCCACGCCCCACCTTGAGCGGTACCCTTGTCCCCAGTCCACCTTGATATCTCGATGTATTTTCTTCTGTGAATGGAGATAGGCCAATCCCTGGGGAAAGATGTGCACAGAGGGCCCATGCATGGGTACCTTCTGCCAGAGCAATGCCTGGCAACCACAGACGCCCCCCACCCAGGCTCCTCCTCACCTGCAGCACTTCCCGGCATACATAGCCAATTTGGAGCTCAGTCAGGGAGCCAGTCACTGCAAAAGCCATCCCAGCCAGATCAGGTGTTGAGGGAGGAGCCAGGAAACCTGGGTCCCAGGGGTCCCCAGCCCCCACCCATACCATCTGATAGGATGTCAAAAGAGGAAGGGACCCTAGATGGGGCATTTGGAAAGGGGAGATAGAAAGTGGTGAGGGACTAAAAGGTGATGAGCCAGGCATGGTTGGAAAGCTGAGGCAGGAGGATTGCCCTGAGTTTGAGGTCAGCCTGCATATGTATATATCCAGGCTAACTAGGGCTACACAGAGAGACCGTTTTTCAAAACAAGAGTGAGAGGGTGAGAAAGCCAGAGAACAAGAGAGCAAGAGAGAGAGAGAGCGACACACACACAGAGGAAAATGAGCCCGAGGAATAGTCATGCACTCAGTAGATAATTATTACATTTGTACTCTGTACTAGTTCCCGGAAACACAACCACAAACAAAATAGTCATTGCAAAAGGCTATGGGTATAGCTAGCAGCTGGGGCATGGCTCAATGGTAGAGCACCTAGAATCCCCCAGTGAGGGGTATAGGGTGTAGCTCCATGGTAGAGCTCTTTCCTGCTTCCCTGGCACGTGAAAGTCCCTGGGTTCCATTATGGAAACATACATGAGCGTGTACACACACACACACACACACACACACACACACACACACACAGATACATCCTTGTCCTTATGGAGAGAACATTCCAGTGGAGGAAGACAGATGATAAACAAGAAAAATAAATAAAGGATATAAAGCTGACAGGGTATCTTGGTAGTGAACCTTCTGCCTATTATTTCAAAATCTACTAATAAATAGTAACTCATAAAGTAAGCTGAGTGTGGTGACTCACACCTTTAATCCCAGCACTCAGGAGGAAAAGGCAGGCAGATCTCTGTGAGATCAAAGCCAGCCTGGTGCTTGGTCTACATAGCAAGTTTCCGGTCAGTTGGGGCTAGAGAGAGACCTTGTCTCCAAGGAACAACAACAAAAACCTAATAAACTAAAAAGAAAGAAGGAAAAAATACAGAAAACGTGAGATGCTAATATGCTAATAAACAGTAAGAAAAAAGAGCAAGATATGACAACAGGAAATATGTGGGGGAAGGACTATGACATTTTACACTTGCTGGTCAGTAAGACTACCCTAAGAAGATGGCAGCAGGGAACATGCAGGGTCCAACTCCAGGAAAGATGAGCAACTACAAGGGCAAGTCTTAGAGGGCATCACCCATAGCTGATGCAGAGTGAGCGGTTCCAGCTTCACTCTGGAGGGAAACAGGAGTGTGTGAGGCTCTGAATGGGGCGACGTGACTGAGCTGAGTGATGGCACAAAGCGACAGACAGACATAGACCCAGGGACAGAGAACAGAAAGTGACAGAGACAGAATTCAGGGAGACAGACATTTGGAAAGAGATGAAGGGCTTGGGGGCAGGGGGAGAAGAAAGGACAAGGGAGCGGGTGGTAAGGAGGGAACAGGCCTTACGCAATGTCTTAGATGAGTAACATCCTCTCTGTGGGCCTCAGTTTCCCCTGGGTGGGAGGAGGCTTTGTGTACCTCAGATGAAACCCAGGGCCTTGATCAGTCCTGCTAGGCAAGCTACACTGAGCTGCATCCTCAAACCACTGAGGACATTTTAATAGTTTTTCCTTCCCAGACATTTGCGATTTGGGCTATAGGCAGTTAGGGAGATAATAGGTCAGAGGCAAACAACCGAACTTCAAAGAAGGCTGAGGCACCAGGCCTGGTGGTAAAGGTCTATAATCCTAGCTATGCAGGAGGATGAGGCTGTGGGACTGCAAGTTCAAGGCCAGCCTAGGCAACCTATTGAGACTCTGTCTCAAAATAATAAAAAGAAAGGGGGTGGGTAGGCATAGTGGTATATGCTTTTAATCCCAGCACTCTGGAGTTAGAGACAGGGAAATCTGTCCAGCCAGGGCTACATAGTGAGACCCTGTCTTAAAAAATCCCAGCACTTGGGAGGCAGAGGCAGGCAGATATCTGTGAGTTCAAGCCTAGCCTGGTCTACATAGTGAGTTCCAGGCCAGCTGAGGCTATAGGGAGACTCTGTCTCAAAAAGACCAAAGTAATAATAATAATAATAATAATAATAATTTTTTAAATTTTATGCGGCTTCGGATTCCCTGGAACTGGAGTTAAGGACGGTTCGTAGCTACCATGTGGGTGCTGAGAATCGAACCCGGGTCCTCTGCAAGAGCAGTCAATGTTCTTTACCGCTGAGCCAATACTAATAAATTTTTTAAAATTAAATAAATAAATAAAAGGGGGGGCTGGAGAGATGGCTCAGTGGTTAAGAACACTGGCTTCTTTTGCAGAAGACCCACGTTCCAGTTCCAGCACCCACATGGCAGTTAACAACCACCAATTGCAGGGAATCTGATGCTCTTTTCTGGCCTCTGGTGGGCACTGCACACATGGTGTACTTCCATACATATAGGCAAAAACTCATACACAGTAAACAAATAAATAAATAGGGCTGGAGAGATGGATGTTGACCTGGGTTCAAATCCCAGAACCCACATGGCAATTAACAACTGTCTGTAGTTTCAGGGCATCCAACGCCCTCTCCTGACCTCTGGTATTGCATGACATGGGTGCACTTACATACATGCAGGCAATACAACCATACATATAAAATAAAAACAATAAAATAGTAAAATAATAAATAATATTTTAAAAGGTTGGGAGGCAATATATATTATATATCTGGGTGTGGTAGCCCTAGCTCATGGCTATTTTGTTCTAGTTCAATAAGAACTTAATATAGTAGCTGCCAGCACTCAGGAGGCAGAGGCAGGAAGATCTCTGTGAGATTGAGGCCAGTTTGGTCTACATAGCAAGTTCCAGGCCAGGAGTCCCTCTCTTAAGAAGACCAAAAAAAAAAGGGAGCTGGAGAGATGGCTTTGTGGTTAAGAGCACCGACTGCTCTTGCAGAGGACCCGGGTTCAATTCCCAGCACACACATGGTGGCTACAAACCGTCCTAAACTCCAGTTCCAGGGGAATCCAAAGCTCTCTTCTGACCTCCGCAGTGTTGCATGACACGGGTGCACTCACATACATGTAGGCAATACACTCACACACATAAAATAAAAATAATAAATATTAAAAAAAAAGAGAATAGAAAAATAAAATAAATTTTTTTTTTTTAGAAAAAGTTGGGGCTGGAGAGATAGTTCAGTGGTTAAGAGTACTGGCTACTTTTGCATAGGACTCAGGTTCAGTTCCCAGCACCCACATGGAGGCTAAAAACTGTCTGCAACTCCAGTTCTAGAAGATCCCACACCCTCTTCTGACCCAGGCACACACATAGTGCACTTACATACAGGCAAAACACTTATGTACATAAAAATAAATCCAAAAAATTTTAGCCAGGCATTCTGGCTAAAATCTTTAATCCCAGCACTCAGGAGGCAGAGGCGGGCAGATCTCCACATAGAGAGTTCCAGGCTAGCTGGGACTAAATGGAGACCCCTGTCTTAAAACAAACAAACAAACAAAAAAAGAGACTTGATGATCTAGCTTTAGAGTGCTTGCCTAGCTTTTCAAGATCCTAAGCTCAAATCACACTATGGCCAAAACCAACAAAAAGAAGAAAAAGAAAGTAAGGAAAAGAAAGGAAAAGAAATTTAGATAAGTAGACAAAGGCCTTTTCTACTCCAATCCTCAAACTCCCCAAGAGGCTGAAAGGCAGGCTGCAAGCCAGACCTAGAAATTCACTGACTTACTGCACAAAAATCTGAGCACCTAGTCTGAACTAGAAAATCCAGAAATACCCAGCCTAGGATAGGACTTAGCAAGAAAATGCAGACACCTAGACAAAGATGGAGATACAGAGGTAAAGGGATCATTTCCTGGAGAAAGACAATCAGACCTGCAGATGCTGACGGGCAGGCTCACCACACAATACCCAGCATCATCCAGGCCAGGCCCAGAAATGTGGAGTGGGAAGACAGCTCCCCAAATACAAGCACAGAGAAACAGAAGAGGTGGATTTGAGGGGGAAAGGAAACCTGGACCCACTTATCCTTCCCCTAACCTTGGTAGATGTCCTGCAGAGAGCCAGCCCCACAGAATTCCATGCAGATCCAGAGCTTCTGCATCCTACAAGGGATGGAGAGGAGCAAGGATATAAAGACAGCAGGCTGTGTCATTACAAATCAAGGAGACCCTGACTCACAGCTAATTTGTTCTAGGTCAATAACTGCTTAATATAACAACAGTCAAAGAGGTTCCCTTGCCCACCGGAGACTATGCTAGTCCCATTACAGAGGAGGAAGTTAAGGATGAGACAGAAGTGTGCACCCACGAGCAGACTGACTGGAATTTAGATCTTTGGGCTTTAAACCCAGGGTCCCTCTGCCATCCCAGGCTAACTTAGAGGATAGGACAGAGATCTCACAGAAAAGTGGATGGGACAAAGGGCCCAGAGTACCAGGTTTGGGTGACAGATGTCATTATTGGGGCAGCTGGGATATTTTTCTAAGAACCAGATAATTTGGGGGATCATATTAAAAGACCAGAGTGAAACTGGGGGATGCAGGGAGCTGACAGATGAAAGATTACTTTCAGAGTTCATTCCTGATTAGATTACTAAAAAAGGAGATCATGCCAGGCGTGGTGGCGCATGCCTTTAATCCCAGCACTTGGGAGGCAGAGGCAGGCAGATCTCTGTGAGTTTGAGGCCAGCCTGGTCTACATAGACCAGGGGTACATTAGTAAGAATAGTGGAACTTCAGATGGGGGATCAGGGTGGGAAGCCCCAGTTAAAAGTAAGAGTCCAAAAGTTGTAGGTCAAGTTAGGGTATCTGGGTCATAAATGGAAGTTTAGAATTGAGGACTGGGTTGGGGTGCCTAGCTGAAAGTGAAGGGTTGGTGTTGGGGGATGGGCAAAGACATCACCAGAGGTAACTGCCATGGTAAGCCACGATGTTGGCATGCCGGCAAGTTTTCAACATGAGGATCTCCTTTTGAAGGGTGGAGACATCGTCATCTGTGAGGAGGAGCAGGAGAGAGAGGGTGGCTGGGGGCAGGGAGTTATGGAGGTGGTCCCTGTGTCCCAGGCAATAGGGAGAGGGTGGGGAAGGAGTTGCTGCGACTTCTCTCACCAGGCTCCATCTTCACCATCTTCAATGCCACCACGTCCTTAGACACCTTGTCACGAGCCTTGCAAAGGGGAAGTTGGCCATCAGGCAGGCTCCCTAGCCTGTGGCCCTCAGCATCTCTAAGTCAACACCAAGGCTCTCTTACAATCCCTTCTCTACTTGGGCCTCACTCTAAAGATCCCTGGTTTGAGGGTAAAGCAAACAGAGGGGGTTCCTCACCTTGAAGACTTCCCCGTAGGTGCCACCACCCAGCCGCTGCAGCAGATCATAGTGATCCCGAGGGTCCTTATTAAAGATGTCAGGGTCCACGAGGTCCATCCCTGGAGGCCGGAGCTGGGCCTGTGCCCAGGGGCCAACAGGGCCTCAGGGCTCTAGCCTTAGTACTACCCTCCTCCACAAGCACTGGGCCCGCCTCGACTCTGTGGGCTGTGGCCTTCCCCCTCCCCATTCTCGCTTCCTGCCCCAGCTGCAGGGCTGTACAGCGTGCTCCACCCCTGTCCCCAGGGCTCTGAAGGCCTGTTTGCCTTAGGACCCATGGGACTCCCCTTTACCCCCAAACCTCAGGGCTGTGTGTAAATGAGATGCAAACCACTTTAATTGCAACCTGGGGCTGACCTAGCACCTCACACACAAACGTCCCCATAGTGGGAGGAGTCACAAGTCACCGTTGAACCTCTGCTGGGTGCTTTAAAGTTTGGAGTCAAACCAGATGTTGCAGGTCTGCACAAAGCTGGCTAAGCTGTGTACAGGCCTGTGCACCTGAGACACGTAACATGCACTTAAGTGACAGCTCCTCAGGCGGACGGTGGTGCACATGAAGTGCATACGTCTGGGTTCCTATGTGAACATATGTGGATGCGCTCTGGGCATCTATTTGCCCACACTCCAACATGCCCGCAGTGTATGGAATCCGTGGCACACGTGGGGAATCGTGACACACATGGGGCACTTGTAGCTTCTAGAATGGAGTCTGATGGAGAGTGGCAGGGATCGCGCGAGGAAGGGAAGCGCTCACCTCCCCCGCTTCCCGGCAGAACATAATTAGCATCAAGTTGGGAACTTGGGTCTGGGATTTGAAACTGTGGAAGTCAGGATGCTGGATCCTGTCTCGGGGGTCCAAGGTCTGTGGCAAGAAGGACCTCAGAGAGCATCTCCATCAACTTGGGTCCAAAAGGAAGCCTACAACTACCATTCCCGCGGTTCTGTGAGTTTAGGGCCGCGCATGCGCCTTGCGAGCTCCGTCTCGGGCCCAGAGCGTTCAAGCACACGCCCGTCCCTACGTTTTGCGCTGTCCCGGAAAAGCTTAGCCCCGCCTCCTCCCGCCGGGAAGACGCCTGCGCATTGAGGTCAAAGAGACCTTTTCTCACGCCATCCGCGCCGCTCGAGAGACGTGAATGCGCACGCACAAATTACGCCTGCTGGGAACTCACGTGATAGCTGGAACGCGCGCTAGCTGCCAGAAGTCCCTTCTCCGGAAGCGGGGGCCATGGCGTGACGTGTTTCCGTTTCCACCGCTGCTCTCTCTTTTGGCCTTCGAGGATCACACGCTGGGCTGGTGTTAGACTCCATCTAGGGTTCTGGAAGGCTGCCGTCGTCATGGCGATGTTTGAGCAAATGAGAGCGAACGTGGGCAAGTTGCTCAAGGGTATCGACAGGTCTGCGCTCTGCTAGACCGGGACTGGGCTACAGCAAGGGCTAGTCAGGGTTCTGGCCTTGCCCCGCGGGGAAGTGTCTCCAAGTTTCTCTCTGTCCCTAACTTTCCCTTTTTCACCTCCTCAGTGTCCCTTAGTCTCTTGCCTCCCTGCCCTTATGGCGACCATCCAACATAGGGTCAGTCGGTGGTGGGTAGTTGTTAGAACCCGAGGTGATGGAGACGGCTACAGGTCCTGCTTTCGTGTATCGAATTCCCTTCCCAGCGGGTCAGCACACCCCGTAAAAGTCAGGAGTGGTCAGGGCCAGACCAGCAAGTCAGTGACCTAGGCAGCAGAGGCTGGGACTGGAGCAGCACGATGACCAGGACCTGAGAGGTGGTAGGTAGCAGGGTGTTCAGGAAGCCACATAGACAGGCTTCGTAAAAGAACAAGGTTGGAGGCACCCTAGGCTAGACCCAGGGCTAGACCTCCAGTAGGCCTGCATGCTATGTAAGTGCACCTGGGTCGTGCAGTACCCACGGAGGTCTGAAGAGAGCATCGGATCCCCTGGAACTGGAGTTATGGACAGTTAACTGCCATGTGGGTGCTGAGAACTGAACCCCAGTCTTCTGCTAGAGCAGTTGGTACTCTTAATGGCTGAACTGTTTCTTCAGCCCCCCTTATTTATTTTTAAATAGAGTGAGTATAGATGCACTTAAGAATAAGAATAAGGAAGAGTTCCGAGGGAGGACTACCCCAGGGCCAGGTTTGTGTAAAGGAGTAGGAAGGAAGAATCAGAACAGATTACAGTGGCTCCTGAGCCCTATGATGAGACTAACCTCAGCTCCTGTCTCCTTTCTGCCTGGCCCCACTCTTGAATCAGGTTCTCACTGTGTATCCCAAACTGGCCTCAAACTTGTCATCCTCTTTTCTCAGACTCCCAAGTGTTGTACTGCCACACCCAGCTAGCTCTTCACTCATCTTGATTCCCTTCTAGGTACAATCCTGAGAACCTGGCCACCCTGGAGCGCTATGTAGAGACACAGGCCAAGGAGAATGCCTATGATCTGGAGGCCAACCTAGCTGTCCTAAAGTTGTGAGTGTCTGACCGCCACCCCCCGCTATCATGCCAGCAGCTAGCTAATGAGATGCCATTCTGTATGATGCCAGTGTTGGAGGTCTGGGGTAACCTGCAGAATGTAGCTTTTCTTGGGTCTGGAAGACTAGGATGCCAAGGGCAGTTTTTAAGAAATTAATTATTGGGGCTGGAGAGTTGACTCAGTGGTTAAGAGCACTGGCTGCTCTTGTGGGGCACCATGGTAATCGGCAGCAACCAGAGCTTTCCCTCACTGACAGGGAGTTGTCAAACATTAGCTGTCATACCACTGCCAATGGGTAAGTGGCCATACATCTTTTGGAAATTAAAATTATTTATGAGGCTGGAGAGATGACTCAGCAGTTAAAAGCACTGGCTGCTCTTGCAGAAGACCTGGGTTCAATTCCCAGCACCCACATGGCAGCTAACAACCATCCATAACTCCAGTTCTAGGGGATCCAACACCCTTTTCTGGCCTTCATGGGCACTGCACGACCCCAGTGTACTTGCATACATACAGGTATGCAATACACTCATACACATAAAATAAAAATAAGTAAATATTAAAAAAATTACACAGGATAGTATAATCATCCAGCACAAGCTCTCTTAGCGCTAAGAGCTATGCTCAGCACCGGATTTGTGATATCCCTCCATTTTTGGGGTGTAGTTAGGGTTTGTCCATTCATTTGTGTAGTTGCCATTTTCTAGTGTTACAATATGTGGTGCTGTCCTAATAGTTCCCTTTGATGGACTTTGGGTATTTCCATTTTTGTGTGTGAGTGGTGTTTGCATGTGTGTGTGCATGCATTTTGTCCTGGAATTAAATACATGCACCACTATGCCCAGGTATTTAGTAATTTTTTTTTTTTTGGTCTTTTAGAGACAGGGTCTCCCTGTAGCCCTAGCTGGCCTGGATTCACTATGGAAACCAGGCTGGCCTTGAACTCACGAGATCCGCCTGCCTCTGCCTCCCAAGTGCTGGGATTAAAGGCGTGCACCACCACGCCTGGCTTGTTTTTAATTCATTCTGCTTGTGGGTGTGAGTGTAGGCACCTGTGTGGTGCTCAGGGGACCACTTTGGGGTGCTGAAATTCCCTTCTGTCTCGAGACAGGGCCTCTTGCTTGTGCCATTGAGCATTGTGCTTCTATTGTCTCTGCCTCCATCTCGCTGTGGGAGTGCTGGGTTATAGACAGGCCTTCCACAGCCTGCTTGTGTGGGTTCAGGATTTTGAACCCAGGTCATCAGACTTGCACATCAAATGCTGTTAATCCACTGAACCATTTCTCCAGCATCTTACTTTTCTTTGGTGGCAGGGCTTAGAGAGGCAGGGTCTTACTGTGTAGACCAGGCTGGCTTCAAACTCACAAAGATCCCCCTGTCTCTGCCTCAAAGAGTACTGGGATTAAATGCATGTGCCACTATGCCCAACATTGTTTTTGGTTTTGGTTGTTTTTGTTTTTTGAGGCAGGGTCTCCTTGTAGCCCCAGCTGGCTTGGAACTCACTATGTAGACCCACCTGCCTCTGCCTCTTGAGTGCGGAGCTAAAAGCTTGCTCCATTGTGCCCTGCTGCCAGGCATTGTTTTTAAAGGTAGGGTCTTGTAACTTTGGCTGACTTCATACTTGGTAGGTAGTTGGGATGACCTTGAACTCCTGATTCTCCTAAGTGCCTGGTTTATAGACAAGGACCACCAGGGTATGGGTTTGGTTTGGTTGGTTGGTTGGGTTTGGGGGGGGGCTTTTTTGGGCTTTTTGGTCTTTGTTTAGTTTTGTTTTTCTTTTTTTTGTTTTTTTTGGGGGGGGGAGTCTGAGGCAAGGGAATTGAAAAATAAACAGCCCAACAAGTCTGAATATAGGCAGCCTGGCTCCAGATCCTTAACTAGCACTCCAAAATGCTATTTCTTTTTATTTTTTCATTTTATTTTATGTGTATGCATGTATTGCCTACATGTATGTAAATGCACCCGTGTCGTGCAATACCTACAGAGGGCAGTAGAGGCCATCAGAACCCCTGGAACTGGAGTAAATGGACAGTTGTTAGCTGTCACGTGTGTACAAGGATTCAAATCTGGGTCTTCTGTAAGAACAGCCAGTGTTCTTCACCACTGAGCCACCTCCAGCTCCCAAAATGCTGTTTCTAATCTCTGTTACTTACCAGCATTCACCCAGTTGGGTGGTTGTAAAGGATGATTGTCCCTACCTCCAGGGTAGGAAAGTGGACTCTGGGAAGTTATTGTTCCACAATTAGAAAGTATGGTTGGCGTTGAAGCCCAGGCATGACCAGCTCCTAAACTCCAGTTCCCGCCTGCTTCTGTTGAGACTGCTACCTGTTGAGCCACTATTTTATCTATTTGTATAATACAGCACAGGTTAGCCTCAAACTCGAGAACCTCCTGAGTACTGGGGTTGCAGGTATATGCACTACAGCCCTCCTTGGGAAGTGCCACCTTTGCTTTGTTTCCTGTTCTTAGGTACCAGTTCAACCCAGCCTTCTTTCAGACCACAGTCACTGCCCAGATCCTGCTGAAGGCTCTCACCAACTTGCCTCACACTGACTTCACTCTGTGCAAATGTATGATTGACCAGGCACATGTATCCTTTCAGTAACAGGATAGGACTGGGCGGGGGGGAGAGTTGAGAACCAGGACACTAGAGTGGTCCATATGTGCATCCAAAACACCAGTGCCTGGATCAGTCTGGGATGCTGTGGTGAAGCCTGGCCTCATGAAGCACAGCCTAGAATAGGTAGCGCTGGGGTCAAAGATCCAGCCTAGATCCAGGCCTAATGGTGTAGGCTTGTAATCCCAGCTCTTCTAGAGGATGAGAAGATGTTGAATTCGAGATCTACCTGGGCTGTGGTGAGTTCAAGACCAACCTAGACAACCTGGTAAGACCCTGACTTGGAAAGTAAAAAGGGAGTTCAGGATGTATCTCAGTGGTGGAGTTTTTGCCTGGCATGTATGAGGACCACTGGCTCTGATAGCCAGTGGTAGGAAGGCTTTCAAAAAGAAAAAGAGCTCTGCTGTCTTTTAGACATGGCAAAATCATACAGTTCTAAGTGGAGTGCAGTTGGCCTATAGGGTACCAGGGAACTACCTAGAGCTTTAGAGCTGCAGTCTTCTGAGGTTCCAGCTGAATGGAGAGTCACCAAGCAAGAGGCAGAACAGGTTGGCAAGGGCCACAGGAAACTGGAGTGTTCAGAGGCCAGCCTTGTCTGCATAGCAAGTTCCAGGTCAGCCAGCTACATAGTGATACTGTCTTTAAAAGGAGGGAGGTGCTGGAGAAATTGCTTAGCAGTTAAGAGCACTGGTTGTTCTTACAGAAGACCTGGGTTTGATTCCCAGCACCCATAGGGTGGCTAATGGCCCTCCTTGGGCATTGCACAAAGTGGGTGCACTTACACACGTACAGGCAATACATTCATACACCTACAAAAATAATAATCACTTTTTTTTTTTTGTTTTTTGGTCTTTTTGAGACAGGGTCTCCTTGTAGTCCCAGCTGTCCTGGAACTCACTATGTAGACCAGGCTGGCCTCGAACTCACAGAGATCCACCCGCCTCTGCCTCTCAAGTGCTGGGATTAAAGGTGTGCACCAACATGCCCGCCAATAATACACTTTTTAAAAATGACTTGAGGGTGCTGGGCTTGGTGGTGCACGCCTTCAACCCCAGCACTTGGGAGGCAGAGGCGGGGGGATCTCTGTGAGTTCAAGGCCCGCCTGGTCTGCATAGTGAGTTCCAGGACAGCTGGGGCTACAGGGAGACCCTGTCTCAAAAAAAGACAAAAACAATGACTTGGGGACACCCCCTCCACACAATACTAGAGAACAAACCCAGGGCCCTTTGCATTGCTCAGTAAGGGCTCTACCACTGAACTACATCCCTCCTAATTCCTGGTTCTTTTTCTGGAAGATGGAAGTAGAGAGTAGATCTAGAACCTGACCCTAGCCTCCACATGCTCCCAGGCGATTTTCCTTAACACTTTCTCCCATCAGCAAGAAGAACGTCCCATACGACAGATTTTGTACCTCGGAGATCTGCTGGAGACCTGCCACTTCCAGGCCTTCTGGGTAATGTGGGTCAAGGATCAGGGTGGGTGGCCTGGTGGTATGGAACAGAGTGCCAAAAGTGACAGTGGATGGATGGACTAGGTATGTAAGAGCCAGGACTCCATTGTCCCACAGTAGGCCCCTAGTCACAGACAAACCTGCATCTGCTCAGCTGCTCTGAGCACTTGGCCTATCTACTCTTCAAGGGGGAACCTCCCAAGGGGGAGGGAGCAGGCTTCGTGGCACTCACCTATTGTACCAGTGCTTAGGCTGAGGATAGAGATTCCCAGGCCAGTCAGGACTACATAGCAAGCCTTGATCTCCATTAAAAAAAAATGGGGGGGGGGGGTGCTAGAGAGATGGCTCAGCAGTTGGGCGCACTGGCTGCTTTTGTGGAGGACCCAGGTTCAGTTTCTGGCCCCTGGGGACACTGCATGCACTTGGTGGGTACTTACACACAGGCAAAATACTCATAAAGATTCAATGAATAATTTTTTTAATTAAAAAAGAAAAGGGAACTAGAAACCTGAAAGTCTCTAGCAAGGCTCCAGCGTGCCAGTGTCTGCAGTAAGCCTGTGCATTCCTACAGCGCTTGCCAGAACAGTTCTAAAGTGGTTTGAGGCCTTGCCCTGCTCTGTCCAGGGCAAGGTTATAGAAATTTCAGACAATTACATGCTTAAATAACAATGTACAACAAAAGCGAAAGTCTCACAGCAAAAAAACACATTAGTCAAGTCAGGGTCATGGGTCACCCTATTCCTGCTACTTCTGACCTGTGCTCAGTGTCCCCTTCCCCCATGTTGACTTGGGAGCCAATCCATTTGGCCCACTCAGGGTTTTGTGGTGCCCCCTGCCCTGCCCTCAGCAACACATTCCAGGAAATAGCTCTTGTTGGATCTACATTGACCTCACTGGATCTAGTAAGTGGGTCTTCAGCCTCTCAGCTACCCTGTTGATCGTCCCCCCAGCGTGGGTGGATGTGTCCAGCTCCTTTCCACCCTTGATCACGTGGCTTCCAGAGCCTCTGCTCTCCTGGCTTCCCTCCCACGTCCGTAGCTGGCCCTCAGCAGAGCGTGGGCTCTTCCCCATTCCTGTTGGAGGAAGCTCTGCTGGGAAGGTTGAGCTGAGGCTGATGGAGATGAGGGGTGAGCCCTAGAGAGGAGCGTTCCCAACACAGCCACACGAAGGGCTAAGGTGGGCCGGTGTGTGGCAGGTTGGAGGAGTGCAAAGAGGCCTCTGGCTGGGGACGGGAAGGGGCATGGAGAGGACGCAGGTGACCACACATTCCTCCTTGTCAGAGGGTTCACTGACAAGAACAGTCAATGTCAGGGCCTGTTCACATGACCGTGTGTATGGGGGGACATGGTATTTAACGTTTTTAAATTTTTGTTGTTTCAAGACAAGATTTCATGTACTGCCCTCAAACCTGCTATGTAACTGAGACTGGCCTTGAACTCCTGATCCTCTTGCCTCTTACCTCCCAAGTGCTGGGATTATAGGTATAAATCACCTTACCCAGCAGTGGGGTTGTTTTATTTTTGAGGGTTTTTGTTGTTGTTTTGAGATAGGGTCTCCCTGTAGCCTCAGACTAGCCTTGATCTCACAGAGATCTGCCTGCCTCTGCCTCCCAAATGCTGGGACTAAAAGCTGACACCACCATATCTGGCTGTTTTGTTTGTTTTTGAGGCAGGAACTCGCCATGTATCCCATATTGGTCTGGAACTTAAGATCCTCCCCAGCCTCCACAGTGTCAGCACTTTCACTGTCATTAATCTTGTTGGTATTAACTCTGAACATCACTTCTTACACAGCAAGCCCTGGATGAAAACATGGACCTCCTAGAGGGCATTACCGGCTTCGAGGATTCTGTTCGGAAATGTGAGTTCTGGGTTCCCTGAGGGGCTGGGAGCATTCGGGTCCTGGGAAGCAGCCTCTTGCCATCTTTGTTCTGACTTCCAGTTATCTGCCATGTGGTGGGCATCACGTATCAGCACATCGACCGCTGGCTGCTGGCTGAGATGCTTGGAGATCTTGCCGGTAAGGCCTTGGGGTGCTTGTGCCAATCTGAGAGGGTACAGGTAGTTGGGACATCGGGCCTCAGCCAGTTTGGGGAGACCCTTCCCAGCTTTCTGGATAGAGAGACAACAATGTGGTATAAGATGCTTCCCTCACCAGGTGTGGGGGCATGTGATCCCAGTGTAGGCTGAAGCAGGAGGATTACTTGAGTTCTAAGCTAGCCTGGGCTACAGAATGAGCCAATGTAAGATTAAAAAAGGTGCTCCCCTCCCTGGGAGAGACTGTACCTTTGTCCTTTTCTGCATCCACCAGGTGAGTGCCACTCTGTCAGATACACTGCTCTTGACACTGACCGGGCCATAGACCTTTCTCATGGAGGGAGCAAAGCAGATACGCTGTTTGGTCTTGTGGTGTGCTGTGAAGGGCAGTGAGGCTGCACAGAGGGGCAGCATCTGGCGGCCACCCCAGTATCATGAGGTGGGCCCCCGGAGGAAAAAGTAGACACGGCAGTGGGAGTGATGGCCTGGGTGCTACAGAGCAGAATGACTGGGTACAGTGGCTCTTCAGGTCACATGGGGGTCTTGAGGACTTTGTTCTTTTCCCTGGAGTGATGAAGCCTCAGGAAGGCTCTGAGCAAGGGGGCTGTGATCAGAATGATGTTCTTGAAAGATCCCTCCCCAAAATATTTGGGCATTTGATTTTTCCAAAAGAAATATGGCCAGGTGTGGTGGAACACACATTTAATCCCAGCACTTGGGAGGCAGATGATCAAGGCTAGCCTGGTCTACACAGAGAGTTGGAGAGTTCAGGGCAGCTGGGGCTAAGAGAGAGGTGGTGAGGGGAATACAGAAAAGAAAATAAAGACTAAGGGAAACTGGGCCTAGTAGTGCAGAGCTTCAGTCGCAGCCCTTGGGGAGAAATAGATCAGGAGTTCAAGGCTGTCATCTACATAGTGAGCTTGAGCCCATTTGGGCTACTTAGGACTGTCTCAATGAAAAGGGAGAGGAGCAAGATGACTCAGTGGGTATAGTGCTGAATTAGATCCCTGGAACCCTCATGATGGAAGGAAGGAGAGAACCAACTCCACAAATCTGTCCTCTGAGCTACACATATATACAAAGTAATAATAATAATGCAAGAAAACTAAGCAAAATGTGGTAGCTGGACAGGGAGAGTGGTAGAGAGGAGGGTGGTAGGCTGGAGCATGGTTGGCAGTCCAGCAGGGGAGTGATAGACTTGGGGACAAGGCATGAGAGAGCCGCCTTGGGTACATTATACCTGTGATTTTCTTTTTTTTTTTTTTTTTTCCTCTTTGTGAGACAGGGTCTCCTTGTAGCCCCAGCTGTCCTGGAACTCACTATGTAGACCAGGCTGTAGGTAAGTAGCTGAGGAAGACCTTGATCCTCTTGCCTCTACTTCCTAAGTTCTATTTGTTTTCCTTTTCTCTCCTCTCTCTCTCTTGCTCTCACTCTCGCTCTCATTCTTTCTTTTTGAGACAGGGTCTTCCTTGTAGCCCCAGCTGGCCTGGAACTCACTTTGTAGATCAGACTGGCCTCAAACTCAGAGATCCACCTGCCTCTGCCTCCCAAGTGCTGGAATTAAAGACGTGTACCACCATGTCCAATTTGCCTGTGAATTCTTGTATGAGTGTTTAGTGAAAGCTAACTTTTACTGGGCATTTCAGCTTTTCCCCTGTGGGGGATTGAACCTAGGGCCTCATACATGGTAGGCAAACATTTTACCATTGAACTATATCCCTAGCCCTCTTTTTTTTTTTTGAGACAAGGATTCACTAAGTCACCTAGACTGGCCTTGAATTATTATGTAACTGAGGATGACCTTGAACTCCTTTGTTTTGTTTGGTTTGGTTTTGTTTTTGAGACAGGGTCTCCCCGAAGCCCCAGCTGGCCTAAAACTAGCTTTGTAGACCAGACTGGCCTTGATCTCGTAGAGATGCCTCTGTCTCTACCTCCTAAATGCTGGGATTAAAGGTATAAACCACCATGCCCAGCCCATTTTAACTTAAAACTACACATTTTTTGTAAATAACATTACAGGGACAAATGAGCCTGATGGCACTCTGGAAGTCGAGACGAGCATTAGGAGTTCAAGGTCATATTTAACAACATAGTTCCAGGCCAGTCTGGGCTACATGAACCCTGTCTCAGAAAAACAAGGGCTGGTGAGGGGGCTTGGTGCAAGCCTGACCACCAGAGTTTGAGTCCCAGGACCCATATGGTGGAGAGAACCAACTCCTGCAAGTTGTCTTCTGACCTCCACAAGTGTGCATATACACACATGGATAATAAATAAATGTAATAATTAAATCAAAAACCCCATGAAAGTAGGATGAAGATGCTAATGGCGCCCCCTGGTGGCTGCATGGGGATTGAACCCCAGCAAGCAGGCTTAGCCCCAGGGAGACTCCACTGACCCCTGCTGCTGGCCAGGTAGGAGATACCTGAACAGTTGAGCAAAGACCTGAGAAACCCTGATTTCCCTGCTTCCAGAGCCATTGGTATTGGGGATCAGGCAGCCAACACTCCCCACACACCACCACCTGTCCTGCCCACAGACAACCAGCTGAAGGTATGGATGAGCAAATACGGCTGGAGCGCTGACGAGTCCGGGCAGATCTTCATCTGCAGCCAGGAAGAGAGCATTAAACCCAAGAACATCGTGGAGAAAATAGACTTTGACAGTGAGTGGTGGCTGGAGACTGTGGGGAGATGTGGTGCCCTTCCACAGAGAGCAGGCTGGGCTCAAAGCACCCAAGTGGAACTGTTCCTGCTCTGCCAGGGAATCTGGCATCTCCCGGCCCAGGGAGAATGGCCAGTGTGCCATTTGCTGATCCTATGTCCCTCCCTACAGCTCTTTCCAAAGCCTAGAGGGGCTTGGCAGGGTGTCTCCTCACCTGCTGTTCCCAGGGCTCTGTCCTTATGGCTCTTGAGTCAGGTTAGTTACGTGAAAATCTCACTGCTGTTTGTCATCTAAAAATTGTGGATGACAGCAACAATCATGACAGACCCCTGGTTCTTTACACCCGAGCCATCTCATACTCACATGAGCCCATAAGGTAGAGGCTGTTGAAACTTGAAACTTGGAAAATAAGAGCAATGTCACAGTGCCCCCCATGGAGTGACAAAGGCCAAGGGAGGTCATCCATATCGGCACCCAGCCAAGGCCTGGCACAGAGCTCGGGAATGTAGGTGACCATTGAGCAAATAGGCTCACCTAATAAGCAAGAAGCGGGCGTGGTGGCACATGTCTATAGTGTCAGCACGCAGGAGGTTGAAGCCAGAGGATCACAAGTTCCAGGCCAGCCTGAGTTACTTAGTGAGATACTGTTTTAATAAATAGTAAATAAGATTTTGAAAGCAACATGGGCATTCTACTAGGGTACCCAACCTCACCTTTCTGCTTGGAGAACAGATGGCATGGAGGGAGGACTGGATTGGGCAGACCTCTCCTTGGCTTCCCCACACAAGGTAGCTGAGTTGAGCAGGTGTGAGCTGTCATTTCCACACTGGGCACTCTAAGAGGAGTGCCTACTCTGGGGTCTCAACCCCACAGAAGGTTCTAGAGTGAAGAGTAAGGTTGGAGCTAAGAATACACAGTATTTATTTAGGACCTGATGTGGGTCCAGACCTTTTACTTAACTCCACAATCACCAGGGTTAGGTGCTGCTTACAGATAAGGAAACTGAGGCACAAGTCTAAAGACTTGTGATCTGCCCCTGATGGACTTGAGTTCCTGGGGTGGGGTTCTCCCACTCTTCCTAAATTGACCCAGGTCTTTCCTCCACAGGTGTGTCCAGCATCATGGCCTCCTCCCAGTGAAAGTATGCTCTTAATAAAGATTATCCACTCCACCCTCCTGTCTCCTGCCTCTGGCCTGGACTATGGCCCTGCCCTCTCCTGGGGCTTCCTCCCTACTTTCCCAGTCCACTTCCTACTCTGCCCCACCCTGTGCCCTTCCCCCTTCCTGACCTGTTGTCTGATGGGAAGGGCTCATGAGTCAGCCCTCTATGGGGAGGGTGTGAATGGCCTAAGGAGCCCAGCGCCAAGGTCCTGAAGCCCCAGGCTCTGAAGAAGTAGAGGGCTGGGGAGCTGTTTGACCATCCTGGCTGTGCTGTGTCCTTGATGGCTGCCTGTCTCTAGTCCTTCATCTCCTCATTCATAGGGAAAGAATAGTACTTATTCTCCTTATGCTGAGGAGACTGGCCAGTGAAAGCTGAGGTCTAGACCTAGCCCCTCCACAAAGGAAAGAATGTACCATTGGCTGAGTATGGTGACCTGCACCTGTGATCCCAGCATTGCGAGGTGGAAGATCAGTTCAAAGCTATCCTTGACTACATGAGACTCTGTCTCCAGGGTATCTGGCACCCTCCTCTGGCCTCCACAGTTGTTGCATGCATGTGGTGCACTTAAATACAGGCAGACAAAACACTCATACACATAAAATATTTTACAATTTCAGATTAAAGTCAGGTGGCATGCGCCTGTAATCTCAGCACTGGGGAGGTTTCCTGGGCTTGCTGATCCCTGGTTAAAAGGAGAGGCTGTGACTCAAGGGCTAGAGCTGTGACTCAGTTGGTAGGCTGCTCACATAGCATGCACAGAGCTCTAGGTTCCATCTCCAGCACCACAAAGAACAGCTGTAATCCTGGCACCTGGGAAGGGGAGGTGGAAGGATCAGGAGTTGGAAGTCATAGGGTGAAGAGTAAGGAAGGCATTCAATGTTGACCTCCTGCCTCCACATGTACATGTACATACATGTATAAAAAGCTTTCAGTAGGGGACTCATGTTTTGGGAACCCTAATTTAAGTCCTTGGTTCAAGAAGCTCAAGAAATGGGATGTGTGAGCCATTGTCAATTTCAGACTTAGGATTTGTCACCAAGATGACTGGCTGGCTCTCAGTACTCTTCTGGTTCGAACTTGATCCTCCAAACTGCTGAGTCAAGTCACTCTCCAGTTCACACCAGTTGACTGCATGCCCAAGGCATTCCAAACATTCTGCCTCAGTGACCTTGAATTTGCCATTTCCCCCTCAGTCCTGTGGGCAGGGTCGGGTGAGGACATCAGTGCCTGCCACCTGGGGAAAATGGAGACAAAATGACCTTTTCAGACTTGATGTGCCAGTAGCTGCCCCATGGCACCAGTTCTGGCACACCAGTGCATGTTGCCTGGCTGTCCAGCCCCTCCCTGTGGCTGGCACTGACCCAGCAATCCAATGTTGGCCCTGTCCTGGGGAGCCAGGGTAGGGCAAGCACCCTTTGCTCTGGCTTCTGGAACTGACCTGAACAGGCACACCAGGAACTGTGTCCTAGGCCTGGGGACAGAACAATTAACAGCTGCTTCACACCATCTCTGAGGTGCTCCCACACCCACTGACAAGGTAGTGCAGACCTACTAGAGGTATCTCTGGGTGGGGATGACAGGGAGGCACCCACTCAGCAGGTGCGCTTGAGCAGGATGCTTCCTGAACAACTGGTCATGGCTGCTCTACAGTGGGGGAAGGAGAAATACCCTTTTGTCCTTTCTGGCCTCCTCTTGCCAAAGAAAGACTGCTTGGGTTCAAACCCCAGCCTAGTGGCTTTTGGACATGTGAGTTTGCTTTTTTGTCTTGGTTTTATGGCTGGGGAGAGTCTTTACCCCCTTCTTAGGTTGGTAATTAATGCCTGCAAAGAGTTGAGAACAGAGCTTGGCACATTAGCAAGATCATAAGCTGACTCCACATTCCATCCTGGTGAAAACCATTGGTGTCTGCTGGTTCCAGAAGGTTGAGTAGTCACCTGATTCTCCTGTATCTGTTCCCACCCTGGGAAGACAGCCCTCTCAGTAGACCCTTCCCTTAAGGAGCCTTCATGAGACAGGAGCTCAACAAGGTGTGTATGCCTATAGTTCTCAACTTGGGAGGCTGAGATAGGAGGTTTGCTTGGAGTTCAAGGCCATTCTGGGGTACAGAGGAGGACCCTGTGTTGTGGAACTGTCTGGCAGTTATAGCTCTTGCCATCTTGAAGGAGAGCAATACAATTATCTACAGAAGACTGGGCCCTAATCTGTCCTGGAAATGGGAGAGAATGCCTGAGCTCCCCCCCCCCATGAGAGAGAAACTGTTACCACTCAGTGCCCACGGAGTGCTGCCAGGAACTGGAAAGGGGGTCTGGGGTCCTCTCATGCAAAACCCATTGTCTGGGCTGCTGCTTCCATCTCTGAACCCTTGGCCTGGGAGTCTTAGTTTCCACTGGAAGTGGGCAGAGAGGGTGAAGGCCCAGCACCCAGTAATCTGCCCCCAAGATCAGACCCACAAGAGTCCTGGGCTTAGTAGGGTATGGAGGCACACACTTGTAATCCTAGCACTTAGAAGGTAAGAGGGTCAGAATTTAAGGTTATCCACAGATAAATAAGGAGTTTGAAGTCAGCCAGGGGTACATGAGACCCTGTCTTAAAACAAAAAACGAGCAAGGCATGGTAACACATACCTTTAGTTCCAATACTCTGGAGGCAAAGGCAGGTGGATCTCTGTGAGTTCTAGGCCAGCCTGGGCTACATAGGAAGTTCCAGGCCAGTCAGTGCTACATAGTAAGACCCTGACTCAAAAAATAAAGCAAAACAAACATCAGGCTGCAGAGATAAAGCTTTTGTCAGGAAAGCATGGGACCCTGGGTTCCATCCCAGGGGCGTGGTGAGTTGATCCCCAGGCATGGTGGTGCACACCTGTATTCACAGTGCTGGGGAGATGAGATGGAGGTAGGCAGATCCCTGGGGTTGGCCGACCAGCCAGCTTAGTTAACCCAGTGACTTTCAGGTTCATTACACATCCACCTCCACTAAGAAGACAGGCAGGCTTGTTCCCTTCCTCTGTGCCTTTGGAACAAAAGAGCACAATGCTTGTAGCTCCAAATCTGAAGAAGCCTGTGCCTTCTAGCCCTTACCACCAAGGACTTGGACTGGGACATAATCCCCTCCTTTCACATAGATAGTTCCTTCTCACTTCAATCCTTCCCCTTCCTGACAACCGTTTCCCTCAGGTCCTTCTCAATAAAATTCTGACAGTTCCCTGTTGCTCAGATGCAAAACATGGGTGCCACCCTAGTTCTTCCCAACAAAGTCAAATTCATACTAGTCCAACCATTCGCCTTCCTGATTTCCCCCTCTTCCTTGCATCTTCCATTCTCTAAAGCACCATGGCTTAACAGCCTTCTCACTGGTCCCAGACTCTCAGTATGTTCCTCTCCTATGGTCAGAGAGACCCTGTGACCCCAGACTGTAGCCCTCCACTGCAGAAAATTTTTAACTTTTTCATTAGCTTTTTTTAGGGTGTGGAGAGATGGCTCAGTTGCTAAGAGAACTTGCAGCTCTTGTAGAGGACCCAAATTGCATTCTCAGCGCCCATGTCTGGTGGCTCACAACAGCCTGTAACTCCAGCTCTGGGGATCAGACACCCTCTTCTAGCCTCTATGGGCATTGCACATGTACATACCTACACACAGACCCAAACACATACATTAAAAAAAAAAGCCAGGTGTGGTGGCACACCTTTAATCCCAGCACATGGGAGGCAGAGGCAGGCAGATCTCTGTGAGCTCAAGGCCAGCCTGGTCTACATAGTGAGTTCCTGGCCAGCTGGGGCTACAGGGAGACCCCGTCTCAAAAAGACCAAAAATCTTAAATGTTTTGGTACCTATCTATATGTGAGTGCATGTGCCTGTGTGTGGAGGTCAGAGGACAACTTGCAGAAGTAGGTTCTCTCCTACCATGTGGGTTCTGGGGATCAAATTCAGGTAATTAGGCTTGGCAGCAAGCACCTTTACCTGCTGAGCCATGTCATCTGACCATAACTCCCCACCCCTTTTTTGTTTCTTTAGTTTTTTTTGAGACAGGGTCTCCCTGTAGCCCCAGCTGGCTGGGAACTCACTATGTAGACCAGACTGGTCTTGAACTCACAGAGATCTGCCTACCTTTTGACTCCTGACTGCTAGGATTAAAGGTGTGTGCCAAGATACGTTTTTTCTTGAAACAGCCTCACTTTGTAGCCCAGGCTGACTTGAACTTGAAGCAATCCTCCTACCTCAGCCTGCCAAGTGCTGGGGGTAAAGGCTTGAGTTACCACACCCGACTCTCCTCATGTTTTGAGCCCATTCATTCAGGATTCAGTATGTTTCTACTCTGTGCCAGCCACTGCTTCAGAGACCAGGGTGACAGCAATGTCTGAAACAAAGATGTCCCATTCTCCCTTTCAGGTTGTTATTTTTGGTAGGAGACAGACAAGAGAGCACAGAAATGAAGCAACATGTTAAATGTTGGTAAGGACTATGGACAGAGGTGAGGAGGCAATTTTTGTTTGTTTTGTGGTGTGGATGGAAGCTAGAAGCCTCATGTATGCTACGCAACTGCTCTACTGCTGAGCCCCTCACTGGGGGATTCTAGGCAGGTGCTCTACTATTGAGCCACAGCCCTAACCCCTTACTGAGAAGAAAGACGCAGGTGCTCTATCTCTAAGCCACACCCCTAACCCTCTCTGGTGAACTCTAATAGAACTCCCACATCTTCAGCCAAAGATGCTATTCTATATAAAGTAGTCAGGGAAGGGGGAAGGGGAAGGGCTTGAGGAGGAGGAGGGGGAGGGGGAGGAGGAGGGGGGGGAGGAGGAAGAGGAGTGGACATTCCTGCAGAGCTCTGCAGGAGAGGAGGCTGTGCATCACGGAGATGCCTAATGTGGGGAAAGTACAGTAGGCCATGATAGTACCTTACCAAGTGCTAAGGCCTGGAGGTTGACAGCATCCTACTGATGTGAGGGAGGAACAGCGAGGAGACCTGCACCCTAGGTGTGGAGTGGGAGACAAGCTAAGGAGGAGACACATCAGCATGTAGAGGATCTTCTGGGTCTGGTTGGAGCCCCAGGACTTTCACTGTTTTATTTATTTATGTTTTACTTTCCCTGGTTTAAAGCATGGGCAGGCCTAAAGAACAAAATGCTGTCCATTGTAGGAAAATTAATATTACTGAGTTCAATGAAAGAATTCAGATGCAGAAAAACAAATATATTTTCTAGATTGAGAAAGGAAAAGGGGGGGTGGAGAGATGGCTCAGCAGGTAAGAACACTGGTTGTTCTTGCAGAAGACCCGGGTTCGAATCCCAGCACCCACATGGCAGCTAACAACTGTTCATGACTCCAGTCCCAGGGGATCCAACAGCCTCTTCTGACCTCTGCGGGCACTGCACAACACAGGTGCACTTACATACATGCAGGCAATATACGCATATACATAAAATAAAAATAATAAATAAAATTTAGAAAGAGAGGAAAAGGGAGCTGGGCGTGGTGGCACATGCATTTGATCCTAGCACTCTTGAGGCAGAGGTAGGAGGATCTCTGTGATTTCAAGGCCAGACTGGTCTACATATTGAGTTCCAAGCCAGCTTGGGCTACAAGGAGACCCTGTCTTAAAAGGACCAAAAATTTTTTTAAAAATTAAAAAAAAAAAAAAAAGAATAAAAAAAGAAAAGGGGCTGGAGAGATGGCTCAGCAGTAAAGAGCGCTTGCTGCTCTTTCAGAGGACCTGGGTTCAGTTCCCAGCACCATACCAATGCCCTCTTCTGACCTCTGAGGGCATTGCACAACATGGGTGCACTTACACACATGCAGGCAGTACACTCATACATACACATAAATAATAACTAAAATAACTTTTAAAAAGGGGGGGCTGGAGAGATGGTTCAGCAGTTAAGAACACTGGTTGTTCTTACAGAAGACCTGGGTTCAAATCCCAGCACCCACATGCTAACAGCTCTCCATAACTCCAGTCCCAGGGGATCCGACAGCCTCTTCTGTCTTCCGAGGGTATTGCACGACACGGGTGCACTTACCTACAAGCAGGCAATACATGAATACACATAAAATAAAATAAATTAAAAAAAAAAGCTGGATGTGGTGGTGCACGCCTTTAATCCCAGCACTCGGGAGGCAGAGGCAGGTGGATCTCTGTGAGTTCCAGGACAGCTGGGGCTACAGGGAGACCCTGTCTCAAAAAGACCAAAAAGAGAGAGAGAGAGAAAACTGAGCTGGGTGTAGTGGCACGTGCCTTTAGTCCCAGCATTTAGGAGGCAGAGGGAGGCAGATCTCTGTGAGTTGAGGGCCAGCCTGGTCTACATAGCAAGTTCCAGGCCAGCTGGGGCTGTAGGGAGACCAGATCTCAAAAAAAAAAGAAAGAAAAAAAAAATCCCAGCACTCCAGAGGCAGAGTCAGGAGAAGCTCTGTGAATTCAAGGCCAGCCTTGCCTACATAGTGAGTTCTAGGCCAATCAAGGTTACACAGTGTCTCAATTGGGTGGTGAGGAGGCTGGAGAGATGGCTCAGTGGTCAAGAGCGCTCATTGCTCTTGTGGAGGGCCCACATTTGGTTCTTTCCTAGCACCCACATGATGGCTAGCAACCTCCTATAACTTCAGTTCCAGGGAAACCTATATGCTCTTCTGGCCTTCATGGGCATTGTCCACATGGGTGAAGTTATATACATGCAGGCAAGACATTCATAACATTAAAAATAAATTTTTGGGGCGGTCTTTTTGAAACAGGATCTCCTTGTAGCCCCAGCTGTCCTGGAACTCACTATGTAGACCAGGCTGGCCTCGAACTCACAGAGATCCACCTGCCGCTGCCTCCCCAGTGCTGGGATTAGAGGTGTGTGCCACCACGCCCGGCTATTTTAATTTGTTTTTTATTTTTTATTTTTTGGTGGTTTTGAGACAGGGTCACCCTGTAGCTCCAGCTGACCTGGAATCCACTATGTAGACCAGGCTGGCTTTGAACTCATAGACATCCTCCTGCTTCAAGGTGTATGCCACCATGCCTGGCCTTACAGCTGCTTTATTTATTTTTTATCTTATGTGTATGAGTGTTTTCAGAAGAGAGCATTGGACCTGCTGGAACTGGAGTTAGAGGCCAATGTTAGTCATCATGTGAATGCTTGGAACCAAACCAGGTTCTCTAGAAGAGCAGTAAGTGATCTTAACCACTGAGCCATCTCTCCAGTCCCTTAGGCTACTTTAAAAAGTGAAAAAAAAAAAAAAAAAGGGTGGGGTAGGGGGCTGAGAATATAGCTTCTGCCTAGCAGGCATGAAGCCTTGATTTGAGTCCCTAATGCAGGAGAAAAAAAAAAAAAAACCAGATACCCCCATGAGTGTAAAAGGGGATCATTGGGAGAAGGAAGTGGCTCAGTGGTAAGGCAAGCGAGTAATGGGGCAGCAGTGAGGGGTATGGTGGGTATGATCACAGTATATGGTTTTGAATATATGAAAATGTCATAACAAAACCCATTATTTTGTACAATCGGTATGTTATTTTTTAAGTAATAAAAATATAAAAACTAATAAAGGGCTAGGCTGGGCCAGGAGAAGTCAGGTTCCTACAAGCCCTTCCAGCTGTCCTTGACTTTGACGCCTCTGAGTCCTGAGCCCAAGAGGGTTCTGAGCAGAACAAGGAGGGATGTATGAGCTGACTCAGGTGTTCATGGGCTCCTGCCTTGAAAGGTTGTGGGGAACCAGATATGTTGACCCAGCAGCAATAAGAGGCTAAGGCTGTTGGACTGTGAGTTCCAGGTTAGCCAGGGCTACATAGTGAGATCCAGCCTGAAAGAGGGGAAAGGAATGGAAGGGAAGGGAAGGGGAAAGGAAAAGGGAAGGAAAGAAAGAAAGAAAAAGAAGGAAGAAAGATCCCAGTTCTTGGAAGGTTGAAGCAAGTCAAATCAGTGGTTCGAGGCTGTCCTTAGCTACAGTGAGTTCAAGGCCAGCCTTGGCTATGAGAACTTGTCTCCAAAAAACAAAAACAAGGGGGCTGGAGAGATGGCTCAGCAGGTTAAGAGCACTGACTGCTCTTGCAGAGGATCTGGGTTCGATTCCCAGCACCCATGAAGAAGCTCAGTACACAGAGGTTGAAGGATCACTGAGCTGGAAGCATGCAGCTGCCCTTCACTGGGATGAGCGTGATCTTGACAATCCCGTTTCCGGGGATCAGTTTTGAATACTATATAAGATGCCTGTTAATGTAGCACCATCATTTATGCCAATAAGTTTCCTTTCTTATTGTTACCCATCCCTGATACAGTGTTAGTCACTGGATAATTGGCCAGGCTTATCATGGTGTCTGCACAGTATAGGTACTCAGTGTTTGTTGAATGAATGCTGATAGACAAGTCTAAAAGAGTCCTCTGCCTTCCAGGCCTGAATTATTTAATTTTTTATTGAACCAAGAATTTCATACAGGGGCTGGAGAGATGGCTCAGCTGTTAAGAGCACTGGCTGCTCTTGCAGAGGACCTGGGTTCAATTCCCAGCACCCACATGGCAGGTAACAACCGTCCATAACTTCAATTCCAGGGGAATCCAGCCCCTCTCTGACCTCTATGGGCATTGCATGACACAGGTGCCCATACACACATGCAGACAATACACTCATACACATAAAAAAATAAAAAGAACTTCATACTATGTGTTTTGATTATGTTCCGACTCCCTCCCCCATCTTGATTCTCCTTTTTTTTTTTTAAGACAGAGTCCCTCTTACATAGTCCCAGCTTTAGGTAGCTAGAATGGCCTTGAACTCCTGACCATCCCAAGTGCTGGAATTACAGATGTGTGACCACTATGCCTGGCTTTCATGCTTGATTTTATTTGTTTGCTTTTTTTTTGGTCTTTTTGAAGCAGGGTCTCCCTGTAGCCCCAGCTGTCCTGGAGCTCACTATGTAGACCAGGCTGGCCTTGAACTCACAGAGATGCGCCTGCCTCTCCCTCCCAAGTGCTGGGACTACAGGCGTGCTCCACCATGCCCGGCCTTTTTGCTTGTTTTTATTATTTACTATTTATTTATTTGAGACGGGGTCTCCCTGTGTAACCTAGGCTGGCCTCAAACACGCCATCCTTCATCCTCAGAGTGCCAGGACTCCATGTACTAACACACTGGGCTTCTAGAAGAGAGTTTCACGCAGGGATTTGGGTCTATGTTCTTCAAAGCCAAGGCATGGTCTAGCACACACTAGGCACTGCATACACCCCTGTTACACCTGAACGGTCGAACGCGAGCACATTCCATTCCCAGGCAGGTTAAGGCCGAGGGCGAGCCCCGCCTTAATGAATCATTCATGATCTTGACCCCGCCCACACGATGATGACGCGCGCGTTCACGCGAGAGAAGCTCCGCGGCGGGGACCCTGAGCGGGGCGGAGGGAAGTGAGCTCTGCGCATGCGATGAGCGCCGGTGGGCGGGCCCGGCTCCTCAGGTGCGCGCGCGCGCGGGAGGGCGGTGGCGGCGCGGTGCGCAGGCGCGGCGAGCACACTGCGCCGGCGTCAGTCTTGGGCGGGCTGAAAGCAGCTGAAGCGGCGACCGAGTCGGAGGCTCCGGCACAGGGGCGGGCGCTGAGGCGGGAGCGGACCGGCTGGCGGGCGAGCGAGAGGCGGCGGGATGGTGGACTACCACGCGGCGAACCAGGCGTACCAGTACGGCCCCAGCAGCGGCGGCAATGGCGCGGGGGGCGGCGGCACCATGGGCGACTATATGGCCCAGGAGGACGACTGGGACCGAGACCTGCTGTTGGACCCGGCCTGGGAGAAGCAGCAGCGCAAGGTGCGCGGCCCGTGGAACAGGCCGGGCGGGATGGAGGGGGACAACCCCGGGGTGGGGGGAGGGGGCTGGAGGTCCATAGGGGCGTCCTGAGAAACAGTTGGCGGGACTGGGAGGGATTTGGAGTCCCGGAAGGGAGTAGCAGAGCTTGAGGAAAGCATTGGGAATCTGCAAAAAATACACAAAAAAATTGGCGACTAGACGGCAGGTATGGGAGCCCACGAAGGGGAATCGGAAAGGATGGCGGAGGATGGGGGAGGCCTCGGCGGGGGACCTGGGGTGTGTGAGATGATGGTTGGGGAGGTTTCAGTGGAACTGGGGTTTAAAGTGGGATTGTTTGGCCTGTGGAGGGCTTGGAAGAGCCCAGGCAAGCCATGGGATCTCGGAAGGGAATGGTGGGCCTGCGCAGTATGAGGGGCTTAGGAACCCCAATGTGGAGGTTTGGAGGGAGTGCCGAGAAGTCTGAAGGAGATTGGAATTGGGGGAGTTCTAAAGGAGAATGAGGATTCAGAAAATGTGACGATGGAGGCGGGGGCGAGGAAAGGTGCTAAGGCAGAAATTGGGAGCCTGTGAACAACACATTTATAGAGAGGGTGAGGTTCTTTGGGGTGCCCTGTTAAGGGAAAAGGAGAAACTCGGGCCGAGTTGAATGGGAGAGAACGTAGCATCTGTGGATCTTTTGAAGAAATTAGAGGTGGTGGGTTACAGGAGCCTGAGGGAAATGGAGTCTGGCAAGGTGGGAGGGTGTGGGAGCTGTCCTGGTGCATAATGGGAGGGAGGGTTGGTTTGGGAAGATGGAATTGTGATTAGAAAGGGCCTGTGAAGAGGGTTAGTTTGGAGAGGAAGAAGTGACAGGGACGGTGTTGGGAGTAGATGAGAGGATTCTAACGCAGAATGTATTTTCTGGTGTCATTTGGGGAGGGGGTGCACAGTAGTGAGGACAGGTCAGAAGCAGAGTAGGAAGCCAGGGGCGGTGATGTGTTGGAGGACAGTGCTCCAGTGTAGTTGAAAGGAAAGCTCAGGCATGGAAGAGAGGGCGTGAATGTGTGCAGGAAGAGCTAAAGAAGGGTGCCTTGAGTGGGTGTGTGTGGAGGGGTTTGGAAGTGTGTGAGGAGGGTGGGAGATGATTTAACTTAGAAGCAGTTTTCATGTATTTTAGAGATTGAGACTCTCCAGATTTGTTACATACTGATGGGGTTTGTGGCCTTGGACAAGACCCTTGATCTCCCAGGGGAGTGGGAGATTAGAAGAGCCCCTTCTGTGATTTCTGCAAAGGGGACAGCATGGAGTTGGGACTATGGGAGAGGGCCCTGAGGATGTGGGAGAGCCAGTTTGGCCCAGACCCTGGGGAATAGACTAGGAAAGGTGTTGGAAGGGTGTTGGTGCTGGGCATAGGCAGTTCAGTCTGGAGGGGAAGAGTGGGAGGAGCCACTGTGCCCTGGCAGACTGAGGTGGGGCCTGACATAACCTTGGCTAGATCACCAACGTCAGCTTATATTCCTTCATCAGTCACGATGGGGTGGAGGGTGGCATGGGGAGGCACCCTTTTCACCTTTCACCTTTCTACCTGAGAGTGGGTGTGTTGATAGGTGACGTACAAAAAATTCGTTGTGAAAAGGAAGGGAAGATCTAGTCTGGATGCCCAACAATAAATTATTGCCTGAGGCCATGCCAGGTTGGAAAAGGTTGAGAGTTACCAAAAGACTTGGAAAGTTGGGAAGGAAACAGGGCCACAGCATCAGTTTTGAGAGTGTCTTAGATTTATCTTCTTTAGGTGTTGGGGAAAGTGTGCCCTGACCCTTTTTTGTTGGGTGGTGGGAGTAGGGGACCCTCCTTTCCCATCCTCCACCAGTCTCCTGTGCCTCCTTTTCAGCCCTCTTTTCTGGGAGCTAGGGTGTGTGCTTAGAGCCTCTCCTGCCTGTAGACTGTGCTCAGGCACCAGAACCCCATCGATGCCTGTGTCATTCTTCCCTGCTCCTTCCAAGTTCCCTTTCTCCTCACTCTGTCAAGGTTGAGGCAATAGGTGGCTCAGTCACCTCCAAGAGCTGCTTAGAGTTACTGTAAGGGCCAGGTTCTAGTTTGCCTGCTTTATAACCTACTCTAGCAAATATTTACACTTAGCTGTTCTTTAGGGGAAAAGCATTGCTTCACCTCTGCCTCTGTGCCCTTTCCTGCAGGAAAGGTCCCTTGTGCCTCAGGGAAGGAGTAATGAAAGGAACACATCAGTTGGGGCTGCTTATCCCCTCTCTCCTTCTACAAGAGTCCCCAACCCCCAACAGGATGGCTAGGACTTTCTTTCCTTTTTTGTTTTGTGGTTGGGCTTTTTCTGGGTTGCAGTGTCACTTTGGGTGCATGGCAAGCTGCCTTTCTTGCCCCTCCAAGGCAGTCCTCTTGGAGAGTGGTAGTTTTGTATATACCTATTCACACACCCTAAAAAAAAATCTGCCCAGAACAGCTGAAGCAGGGGTTGGCCCAACCAAGTCAGGAACGTGTCTCCCTTTTACTTGGAAATCCTTTGCTCCGACTTCTAGGGGCCCCTGTACCCAAAGCATTATCAATAAGTAGGTTACCACAGGTTTAACATGGGACAGCCTTGAATACTCTCCTATGGGGGATGGAGAACTGGTCTGGTGTTGAAAAAAGTTTTTTTTTTTTACTAGGTTTATGATTAGGGTCCAGAGTGGCCCTGAATCCTAGGCTTAGGTGATCCTTGTGCCTCTGCCTGGGACTACAGGCCTGTAAGGAAATTCTTGAGCAATGAGCAACTAAGAGTCCTTAGTTCCCTTTCCTAGGGAAACTCCCATCCCGGTATTAATCTGGTCTGACCCTGCTTAGCCTCCAGGATCAGAGATAGGGTATATTCAGGGTAGTGTGGCTGTAGACCCCTTTCCTCACTTCTGAAATGGGCCTGGTTATTAGCCCCTGTTTTTGTGGAAGGGTGCAATCATCTCCTGAGAGTTAACTCCAGTCCTCTCCTCACAACAAGAGGAAGTGTCCTGCATGGAGCTTGAGTGATCTCTGGCATATCGTTATTGTTCGAAGGCCTCAGGATTTAGACCCTGACCAGCTCAGGCTGTATTAAGTGTGAGTTAATTATTTGAAAGTTCTGATAGTGTTTTGTTTTTCTGAAAGTAAGTCTTTTTTCATTTTTCTTTTCGGCTGATGATGGAGGCTCCCAAGTAGCCATCTGGTATTTTGCTCCATTATTCTAATTGCTTGCCTCTTAGGAGCTAGCTAAGACTAACAGCTCCTTAGCAGCTTTCAAAATTGAATAACATACTTTAAAAAAATGTAGCTAAACTCAGTTGTCCTCTAGAAATAAGAGTAAATATTAGAGGAAGCACATATACACCATGTGTGACCTCAGAGGAGAGGAGGCTACTCAGCTCCAAGTAGTCTGTTCCTTTCCTTATTCTGGAAAATGTGTGGTGTTCCTAGTACTCAGGACCTCTAGTCAGGAAGATCTTGAGTTCAGAGTTCAAGGCCAGCTCACATGGGCTACATGGCTAGGCCCAATCTCAAAAAGCCAGAAAAAGGAAAAGTTGCTGGAAGATGGGCAGGGAGATCCTGTTGTGGCCCTGGAGTGACCTAATCCTAGGCAATTCAGGGTGTGGACTAGGGGTTGCCTTTTACCTTTTGAAACACCCTTTCTGGTTCCGGCTTCTGAGACCAGCAGGGAGTCTCCTTTGGCTGACTCATCCTCCATTTGGAAGTCATGTTAAAAGCTTTCATTTAATGGCAGCCAATTGCTTGGTCTTGTAGGGAAAGTTGGGTAAAAGTTAGTGGAAAAGAATCCAGGAGAGCACAGCACCATAGTGCATGCCTGTCATCCCCAATGCTGGGGATGCTGAGGCCTTGTCTCAAAAAATCAAGAAAAAAATGTAGGCGTGAGGTGGCTCATGCCTGTAATCTCAGCACTGGAGGCTGAGGCAGAAGAATCATTGAAAGTTGGAGGCCAGCCTGGGTTACCTAAGCACATTCAAAGCAAGCATATGTAATTTAGTGGGACCCCTATCTCAAAACAAAGCAAACACACCCTGCCTGAACACAATGGTACATACCTGCAATTTCAGTTCCCTGGAGGCAGAGGCTAGACCAGAAACCAAATTCAAGGCATAGTTTTGAGGCTAGCCAGGGCTACGTAGCAAGATCCTGACTTAACAAACAGCAACACCAAAAAGCCCACCAGGAAATGAGGGTTGGCACAAGGGAGATGTCAGCTGGGAGGTCAGTTAAAATGTGGGCTCACACTTTTTAACGTACTCCCTTCCTCAGATGGCAGGGGTTCGGGGCAGAGTCTGAATTCCAGGTCTGAGCCTCTGAGGCAAGGTGAGGGAGTTCTGCCATTTCAACATCCAGTCTACTCATAGCAGACTTTGGCCAGACAGCACCCTTTCCAGATGAGCTGAGTGCACAGTACAAGCTGTCTGGCAGTGGTGTGTAGCAGATGACAGCCAGGGGGAGGGAGCCAAAAGAGCATTGATTTGGGAAGGCCCAAGGAATTTGAAGCCTTCAAGATGAACACTTTAGGCTTTTGCTACACTGATTTATAGTGTGCTGGGAATTGCACAAGCCTTTGACCAGATCTTACACTGCCCCCTACTTCTGCCTGTCTATCTGAAAGGGAGAGTGAGCGAACAGCTTGGTCAGGTTTTCCAAATAGAATAGAATAGCCAAAATATCAACGTGTTCATCTCCCCGTGCCCTTTGGCAAGTTCTAGGTCAGCGATGACTTGCTTTGTCCTCACTTCTTTTCCTCCCCGGACATGTTCTCAGCGCTCAACTCTTGCCCCTCAGTTTCCTTCCGTTGCCTTTATGTGTTTAGTTTTACAGAATAAGAGAAGTACTCGTGTTACCTTGTATAAGATTCTTCCTCTCCTTTTTTTTATGGAAATAAGAGGCAAGTGATAGCAAGTTGGTAATTCAATGGCCCAGGTAACTAAAACACTGACCTGGATAGTGAAAGAAGGTTTTATTTCCTGGGTAGGCTGAGAGCCCAAGAT